GCATTTCTTTCTTTGTTCAGTTCCGTTCACTCACTTGGAAAGCCATTCATTCTCCATCATTCTCCATCATTCTCCATCCATGGCAGCACACTGCAGAGGGGCTCCTAATCTAATAATGCCATGTGGTATTTTTACCTATCTTATCTTGATGCTAATGTTGGCTCCTTGAAGTTAAGAATTTGATTTCTTGCATCTTATTTATTTCAGGGTCTCATAATTGGTAGTTGCTCAAAAACTGTGTTCTATATGGATGAGTGAGTTTTGCCCACATCATCTAAAGTACCTTATTTCCTTTCTCATCCCTGCTTGAAGACAGGCTTGTAGTTTGATACAATGTTCTCACAGATGTTGTGAGGCAAGTGCTCTATAAAGCCCCCAAGGAAGGAAGATTCAGAACTGTTTTTCCTTTCTTCTGCTGCTTTAGTGGCTTAGTTAGGGAGGCACACAATATAGCTTGAAGCAGTGCAAGACCCAAAATCCTCATAATGAAAAGTTTGAGCTTCATCTCAGTTTCTTTTCATGAGCTAAACAAAATAATAATGTCTACCTCATAGGTTTTATAAAAGAAAAATGGGGGCATCTGGGTGGGTCAGTTGGTTAGGGACCCAACTTCAGCTAAGGTTATGATCACACGGTTCATGAGGTCGAGCCCCTCATCAGGCTCTCCGCTGTCAGCGCAGAGCCTGCTTCAAATCCTCGGTCTGCCTGTCTCTCTGCCACTCCCCTGCTCTCTCTCTCTCTCAAAAATAAAAAAATAAACATTAAAAAAATGAAGTGATGCATGCATAATACTTACCAAAGGACAAGCACATAAAGCAGGCAATAATGCCAGAATAAAGAATAAAGAACTCTGCTTTTTGTTAGTAAAGAAACTATTCTAGGTAAAGGAACATGAGAATTACTTCTGCAATATCTCTTGTAATTAGAATGACTTTATGGTTCCTTTTGTCCCTGACAGGGAGCTTTATACCTACTTTTGTTACATAGTTATTAGTAGTATTCCTTGTTACCCTCAAGAAGTTTTCCTACTTGGAAAATAAATTATATGACCATCCTACTTCTAGTCTTTTTTTCATTCCCCTTTATATTTAAAAGTATTATTGAGTCATCTACAAATTGTAGATCTGACAAATCCCTAGAACCCAAATAAACAAAGTGGTCAAGTATTACTGTTTTCTTTTTCTTACTCTTCAGGAAGAAAATGAACTAAGTTTTAGGTTATGTCATAGGGAAAATATCTTGTTAAGTCTTAGCAATAATTGTAGCCTCTATTTTTCCCAAAAAAATAATTTTAAGGAATGTGCATGCCTCTTCGTTTTAATGTTAAAAATTACATCACTTCACTACATGTTTTTCTTGTCACAAAATTGAAACAGAAGTATTTTGTACTTAACAGTTTTCAGACACGGTTTTTCAGGGAAACCAGAAAGCTAAAAATAGACAAAAACAAACAAAAATATAATTAAACAAACAAGAATATTATTACATAAGAAATGTCCAAAAACAAGACATACTCCCCACCCTTCTAATCTACAAAATGATACCTACGATGGGTAGGAGTATAACATGAATATTAATTATTTTTTAAATGGGGCTTGGCAATGTATATTTTTTTTTGTGGTTTAAAAAATTAATTGAGTTACTTTTTCAAGTTTTATTTATTTTATTATTTTACTTTTTTCAAGTTTTTACTTAAATTTCAGTTAGTATTCAGTTTAATATTGGTTTCAGGTGTAGAATTTAGTGATTCATCATATACAATCAACACCCAGTGCTCACCACAAGTGCCCTCCTTAATACCCATCACTCACTTAGCCCTTCCCACTCCCCCCTCCCCCAACAACCCCCAGTTTGTTCTTTAGAGTTAAGAGTCTGTTTCCTGGGTTGTTTCTCTCTCTCGCTCTCTGTCTCTCTCTCTCTCTTTTTTCCCCTACGTTCATTTGTTTTCTTTTTTAAATTCTACCTGTAAGTGAAATCATATGGTATTTGTCTTTCTCTGAGTGACTTTTTTTTTTTTAATGTTTGTTTACTTTTGAGAGAGAGAAAGTGAGCGAGAGAGTGCAAGTGGGGCAGGGCAGAGACAGGGAGACACAGAATGTGAAGCAGGCTCCAGGCTCTGAGCTGTCAGCACAGAGCCCAATGCGGGGTTCAAACTTAGGAACTGTGAGATCATGACCTGAGCTGAAGTCAGCTTAACTGACTGAGCCACCCAGGTGCCCCCTGACTGACTTATTTCACTTAGCATTATATTCTCTGGCTCCATCCACATCGTTGCAAATGCCAAGATTTCATTCTTTTTGATGGCTGATGATTTTCTTTATCCATTCATCAGTTGGACATTTAGTGCAATTCCTATCAAAATGCCACTAGCATTTTCCACAGAGCTAGAACAATCCTAACGTTTATATGGAACCACAACATTTGCTAAAGAGCCAAGGCAATCTTGAGAAAGAAAAGCAAAGCTAGGGGCGCCTGGGTGGCTCAGTCGGTTAAGTGACCAACTTTGGCTCAGGTCATGATCTCATGGTCCGTGAGTTCCAGGTCCGTGAGTTTGAGCCCCACATCAGGCTCTGTGCTGACAGCTTAGAGCCTGGGGCCTGCTTCAGATTCTGTGTCTCCATCTCTCTGCCCCTCCCTTGCTTACGCTCTCTCTGTCAAATAATCTAGAACCCTCTCTGAGAAGTAATTCTGTCTTTAGTCAGAAATAGACTGCTTTACATCTTAGTCTGCTTATGAGATTCTTTGCTTGCTTGCTTGCTGCTTCTATTACTCCCAATCAGGGATGACAAAAAGCTAGCATCAGAAAGAGAAAAAAAAAAGTTGAATACATAGTTTCTATAAGGGCAATCCTTTGATTTGAAGGTAAATGTTAATACCTTATAGTGGGTTATCTGCAGTACTTGATCTTTATAAAACCATATTGCCTTTAAAGTTAACAAGCAGGTCACAGTACTTGCTTCCCATTCGGTTCTTCTGTATTTCATACATTTGGAGTAAAATACTGCCTGTGTTTCCAGAGAAGGAAAAATTATACCTATGAAAATTGAGAATGGCCTAAAAGGCAGATCCAAGATGACAATCCCAGAAAAATCTTACTTGCTTAGTGGCAGACACTTCTGTAACTAAGCATTTTCCTTATCCTGTTGATTTTTGTTTTTGCTTTAGTTGGTGGTATGACTTGACACCAAATGAATATTTGCTTGGCTAGAAATCACCTTATTTTTAAAATGCTGGGTTGTGACAGCCTAATACTCCTTCACACATTGTCCGAATTAATAAAAGTTTTGCTTTCTTACGTACACTGAGCTAATGAACATGGTTTCCTCTGTCAAGCATGGAGAATGCTGGTAATTTCAGAGCAACCTTGAACTTTATGGTAGGGCACAATCTGGTAGGGCACGTCCATTTTGGGGAATTAGGTGGTAGGAGAGAGTTCTCAAAAGGAAAGCATTGAAAAGCCAAAGACAAGCCCCTTTCCCGCATTGTGTCTCTGGTAGTGGGATATTGTTGAATGCATGCCTAATAACTTATTTGTACATCTTCCTGGCTCACAGGAACCTATTTAGCAACCTGCCAGTCCCAGGAAATAAGTAAGTCAGCATTTTCCAATCTATGGAATATTACCCAACTGTGAGTCATAAAATTAATTTAGTGGGTCAGAACCAATTTAAATTGTAAAGAAAACATCAAAGTCCTTTTTTCCAGTGTATGAAAAATATAGTTTTATAGAATTTCTGTTTTTATTAAAATATAAATTGTGTGTAAGATTGTTTATATAAAAGTAATCTTTTTACTGTGGGGTACTTTTAAGTCTATGGATAAAAGCCAACTATAGAAACTCTGTCCTTGTTGCCATTGATTTGTCTTTTGATGGACAATGGTTGTTTCCTGGTCATTGATCCTCAAAGGAATGTTTGCTAAGTGATTTTAGGAGAAAAGCTTATTCCTGTATGAAAAGGAGAGCAAAGACACTTTTTTTTTACTCATTTTCCCTTCTTATTGGTACCTTGTTGCACATCATTTGAGGTTTATATCCACTGCAACTGTCATGTGAATATTATTTTTATGCTAAGGATGACAGAACAAAATAATAAGAAAAACCTGGATCCTTAAAGACATCGGTAAGTCACTGCACTGTGAAATGGCTCCCTTCCAGCCTTCTTGTCAATTTATGTAACAAATGTCTGAATTGTTTAAGCCATTATTCTATTGGTATTTTACAATTTATAACAAAAATTGAATGGCTACAAGTCTAAAGCCAGTTATACTGGAAGCAAATTCTAAATTATTTCTCCACTTTCATTGTCTTTGCCTTTTACCTTTTGACCCTCTTTTCCTAAGTCTCAGATCTTAAGTTCATATTTGAATTACTTATATGGTGTTTACTATTACTAGATGAATGTTTTTTAAAGATATTATTTCTGGTTTTGTTTGTTTGTTTATTTATTTATTTTAATAAATGTTTTTCAAGTCAGTTGCTTCTGCCCTAGTTTGATCTCAAGGCTACTAGTTAACTGGATTGGTTGATATAGGACTCTCAGCATAAAGAATATCAATTTCATCAAAACTTGGATATTACTAATCTGTAAATGCTGACTTTCCTTTAAACAGTTCTTTAAAAATTTCTTCCAAATCCTTCTCTTTGCTCAATTATACATATCTTAGTATATAACATTTTATTTATTCTTATTCTGTATCTTGTAGAATACTGAGCTATAGCTTATAAAACATATTAATTTCTGTGGTAAATACAGTGAAGGTGGAATTTAATTTTAATGAAGCTTGGTGTAATGAACATTCCATTCCAGTGAAATAGTAGAAAGCACCAGCTGGAGACCAGCTGTGTCCTATGGTCTTTGACTGTAAGTGAAATCTTACTACAACCCAATAAAGCAGATGCATCCTTTGATGAACTTTGCAAATCTTCAGATCAGGTCTCTTATATTCTATATTAGCTAAAAAGTGAAAAAAAATCATTCTCTTTGGAGGCTCATTAGTTTTTCTTTGATGCCTGGCCAAGAATTCAGTTCTCTGTCAACAAATGGAGGTAATATCTCATTGGACTACTTTGGTTCTAATGCCATTCCTTCTTAGATAACCAAGGGCACCAGTGGTGTTTTGGGGGGAAGTCATTGAGAAGATGTGACCACTGGTTGACCTTCACACTGGACCCAGGCAATTGTAAGTTCCCCTGTCCTGAGAATGTGCATTGCATTTGCCTTTCCCATTTCCAGAAGCCGTCCCAAGGAAACAACCTTGAGGTTGAAACGTGGTGTTGAGATTATTTGGATGGTATATGTGTTTGAACTCAGTTAAGGCCTCTATGTAAACTTTTAAGATTTGACAGGCTTGTGAAATGATCTATTCATCTTGAGATTGCCCAAAATAAACCTTATGAGTAAGTTCCCTTCTTTTTGCCCTTCCCACATAGGAACTAGTTTCAGATAATATCTAAAAACACCTCCGAAGGGGTCGAAAACTAACAAATTCTTACATCAAAATACACTTTTTATTAGAATATAAAACAAGAAAACATAATTATATATTCTACAAAGGGACAACTTAAAAAACTTGGGCTTTGATAAAGCTCTTTGAACTTGGAAGTTCCTCCTTGATAACGATAATGTAATTTAACCATGTCAAGAGGCAAATAATTGTGATGATAAAAGTGCCAGTAGAAAGCTGTATAAATAGTAAAATCATAGTTTATTTAATAAAAGGTACAGAAAGGGTGATGTGTTCACATAATTTTTGGTAATAAGCTTAAGTTAATAATTAAATGACATAGATTTGTACCAATATCATAGTTCCATGAGTGGAGGGAAACCAAATATAACTTGAATATTTGCCTCTAATTAATCAGGCTGTGATTCAAAATTATAGATAGCCTCCTTTTCTAGACTTTGCTTTAGGCAAAGCATGGTTTTTATTGATGTCTACATTCTCGGAGCCTAGGAACTCCAGTTTTGGCTAAAATCAATCCCTCACTGTTTAATAAATGGTTGGTTCACATAATTCTATATTTAACCTATGAAAAAGTTACAGAAGGATATATATAATATGGTTCATAACTTTTGCATAAAAATATCACAGTGATAAGTATTGTATTGTTAAGTATTGAATAAGTATCCATTCAATAAGTATTGTAGGATATTTTTAGGTGGTTTGAATTTAGCTTCAATAATTATAACATATTCTATTTACATATGGTGTGTATATGTGGGTAAGGAAGTTAAGGGTTTTTAGGCAAGATGCTGAATATGAAGTAGCCAGTTGCTTAATTGGTGAAAATGTTGTATAAATGACAAGATTTAGATCAACTGATATAGATTCAGTTTCTGTATAAGCAGAATGTTTTTTTCCAGAGATTCAATTAATTATATATTAAGCAATTATTTCCAGCATGCCTATTTTGTACTGGGAATTATAATAATCTCTGAAAGTATAGTTCTTTTCACTAATGTTACTATTCTTCAAATCCAATAAAGGTGCATGCTACATGAAGTTATATGTAAGTGGGACCAAAATGTAAATGCATTATTAAATGTGGGAACGTCAAGCTTCAATTTACCGAGAATTCAAAAGATAACCATCATCATCATCATCATCAATAATATTGAACTTTTTCAATAAGATGATAAGTATGTGATAAGTATGATGTGCATAAGATGATAAGTATGTGTGTGCAAACAGATGTATTTTTAATATAAGTCCTTAGGTATTTAATAAATACTAGGCAGTAGGAATGTATAAGTTTTTGTTTAATACAAAATTGTTATGAATTATTGTTATCTAGTTTTATCAGTTGTTTCAATAATTAATGGAAGGTCTGGTATATAAACTACAGTTGCTGAATGAATGGCTGATCAAAGAAATTAATGAATTATTGGATACAGAAATAAACCTTTCAACTACATATCAATGCAGTAATAAATACAAAACAGAGAGACTTCCTTATTTTGAAATGATAGTTATTAGTATCAGATTAAGCTCTTACTGAAGTTATATTAGAAAATAAATAAATTATAAAAATTTAGCAGTTTGAAGTGTTGGAAAACTTCCAAGGGAAGAGATGAGATTTGAGGAGGCAAGAACTTTGAGAAAACAAAATGCATTAAGTTGATCCCTATATTGGCCAATTTCCTTTTTTTTTTTTTTTTTATTCAGGGAATTTTCTGATTTCCTGCATGGGGAATGAAAAGCTGTAGCATCAGGCACTCCTCAGCATGCTTTGAGAGAAAAAAATGGAATTTTGGAAACAGTAATGCAGGAAGCATCGGATATAATGGGAAAGTTTTTCTTTTGAGTAATTGCCAACTCCGAGACTTAGGACACAATGGACATACTGATAAGATCAAAAGTAGAACCTATAAGAGGATCTAAAAAAATCTGGTAACTAGAAATGGATCTATATGTCTACAAAGGAATGGGCTGAGACTCTTGAAACTTGTTTCCTAGGAAACTCAATAGACTCATCCTAATAGCCTAACATCAAGTCTGAATTGGATCAAAAAGAATTGCCAATAAATTAACTGTATGCTAGAACAAAACTCAACATTCATTAGAAAAATTACAGAATTGGGAGTCTCCCTAATATATTATCTACAATATCTAGAGTGTGGTTAAAAGTTACTAGATATGCAAACAAGTAAAAATATGTGGTGCATAATACAGAGATAAAATGATCAATAACATCTGATCCACAGATTACCCAGATGTTGGAATTAGCAAATAAAGACTCTTATATGACGGTTTTAGGAAGTAGAGAATCTACAGGTAAAGATGGATATGATAACTGAAGATTTAGAGAATTCAGAGGAGACAAGGAAATTCTAAAAAGAAAAAAAACCCAGTGATTATAGAAATAAAAAGCACAGGGGCGCCTGGGTGGCGCAGTCGGTTAAGCGTCCGACTTCAGCCAGGTCACGATCTCGCGGTCTGTGAGTTCGAGCCCCGCGTCAGGCTCTGGGCTGATGGCTCAGAGCCTGGAGCCTGTTTCCGATTCTGTGTCTCCCTCTCTCTCTGCCCCTCCCCCGTTCATGCTCTGTCTCTCTCTGTTCCAAAAATAAATAAACGTTGAAAAAAAAAAAAGAAATAAAAAGCACACAATCTCTAAAATTAAAAATGCATTGGATGGTACTAACAACACATGGAACATTCCAGAAGAAAGGGTCAGTAAACATGAGATCAAATAAAATTTTTGCAAGCTGGAACTCAAGAAGAAGATTTTAATTTTAAAAGAGCTTCACAGACATGTGTGGCAATATCAAGTAGTTTGCCATTTGTATAATTGGAGATCCAGATGGAGAAAAGGAATGTTATGGGACGGAAATGTTCGTGAAATAATAATTGAATTTTTTTTCTAAATTTAGATGAAAACATTAGGTCAACAACAAAGAAAAACAATACAACCTAAGAATAATAATTTCAAGTAAATTACATCATAGTCAAACTGGTAAAACTCAAAGTTAAGGAAAACAATTACAGTTCAAAAGGCACATTACATAAAGAAAACTAATAATTATAGCAGACATCTCATTGGAAGTATAAACCAGAAGTCAATGGATCATGATACTCTCAAGGGATAAAACATTAATCCAGAATCCCATATTCATTGAAAATATCTTCTAAAAATAAAAGTGAAATAAAGAAAATTTTATATAAAACAAAGCTAAGAGAATTGGTTACCAACAGATTCACACCTCAAAACATGATAAAGGAAGGTTTTAAGTTGAAGGAAAATCTTTATGGAAATTTGAATGTACATGAATTAATGAAGACCACCAGAACTGATAAATGTGGGGGTCACTTTAAGTTGTTTTTAAAAAATTTTTCCTTAATTATTTAAAATCAAATTGACCATTTGAAGAAAATTATATTTTACTAAGGGAAGGTTATAACATGTAGAAAGAAAAATGTGATAAAATATAAATGACGAGAGGAGCTAAATAAAAATATACTGTTGAATGGCTTTACATTAAAGGTTAAATGGTATATAATTAATTCAAGATAGGGTGCATATTGCAATTCCTAGAACAAATAGTTAAAAAACATGAAGTAATAGCAATATGAGGAATAAGATGCATATGAAAATACTACATTTTTTTTATACTATGTGGCAATGAGAAAGAATGAAATATGGCCTTGTAGCAACATGGATGGAACTGGAGAGTGTTATTCTAAGTGAAATAAGTCATACAGAGAAGGACAGATTCCATATGTTTTCACTCCTATGTGGATCCTGAGAAACTTAACAGAAGACCATGGGGGAGGGAAAGGGAAAAAAAATGGTTAGAGAGGGAGGGAGCCAAAACATAAGAGACTCCTAAAAACTGAGAACAAACTGAGTGTTTATGGGGGTGGGAAGGAGGGGTGGGTGGGTGATGGGTATTGAGGAGGGCACCTGTTGGGATGAGCACTGGGTGTTGTATGGAAACCAATTTGACAATAAATTTCATAATAAAAAAATACTACATGTTAAATTAAAAGAATATAGGAAAGGAAAACAGGAAAAATGTAAGATAAATAGAACATACATAGAACGATGATAGACTTAAACCCTGCCATATAAACAATTCCATTAAGTGTAAATGTAAATAGCCCAATAAAAGGTAGAGATTCTCAGATTGGGTAAGAAAGCAAGACACAACTGTATGCTGTTTACAAAAAATACACTTTACATATAGACTCCAAGACAAGACAAGAAGTAAAAGGATGGAAATCTTTTATTTCTTTCACACATAAAGAATAAAATACCTTGAAGAAAGGAAAAATCAGTGGGGAAAGATCATGCTGGAACAATTATTTATATGAAAAAATATAATTCAACTCAAATCTCTTGTACTATATACAGGCTACACTGTGATAAGTTAAAAGCGAATATCATAAGCCTTAAAAAATTCACCAAGGGGCGCCTGGGTGGCGCGGTCGGTTAAGCCTCCGACTTCAGCCAGGTCACGATCTTGCGGTCTGTGAGTTCGAGCCCCGCGTCAGGCTCTGAGCTGATGGTCCAGAGCCTGGAGCCTGTTTCCGATTCTGTGTCTCCCTCTCTCTCTGCCCCTCCCCCATTCATGCTCTGTCTCTCTCTGTCCCAAAAATAAATAAAGGTTGAAAAAAATAATTAAAAAAAAAAAACTCACCAAAATAACAAAATGAATGGTTGTGCTTAATAAGATTTCAAAAAAATAAAATTAAAAAACAAAATTATCAAAGAATGAAACAAAACATAAAAAAGAAGTAAAGAACACACAGAACAAATAGAAGATGAGTAGCAAAATGTTCTCTTTAACTGTAACAATATCAATAAACTCATTTAATGTAAGTGACCTGAACAATCCATTTACTAAAGATCTGTTTTCAGACTGAAGAAAAAAACAAATGAATATTCAAATGCATGCGTGTTTACAAGAAAGGAATGGTGTCTATCAACAAAACTCCTGAATAAACAAACCACAACATAATAGAACTATAAGGAGAGGTAAACATATCTAAAATCATAAACAGAGCTTTATAGACTATTCTGTGAATAATTGATAGAACAAGAAAAGAGATAATCAATGAGAATATAGAAAATTTGAACAAATATCATCCTACAGGATGACATTGACATTTATGGGACATTCGAACAAACAACAGCAGAATACACATTATTTTCAAGTACACATGGAATATTTACTTATATATTCTATATTTTGGTAACAAAAGGTTCAAATATTTTTTTTTTACTTTTTTAACGTTTTTTAAATTTATTTTTGAGACAGGGAGACACAGAGCATGAACAGGGGAGGGTCAGAGAGAGGGAGACACAGAATCTGAAACAGGCTCCAGCTCTGAGCTGTCAGCACAGAGTCCGACGCTGGGCTCAAACTCACGGACCGTGAGATCATGACCTGAGCTGAAGTCGGCCACTTAACCGACTGAGCCACCCAGGCGCCCCTCAAATATTTTTTTTAATTTTGATGTTATACTGAATTGTGTCTTGACCATAATGGGATTAAATCAGAAATCAAAAATAAAAAGATTTCTGGAAAATTCCTGCATATTATATATTATATAGTATAAATATATTTATTGTATAATAAATATGCATGGTTTTTATTCTAAATAAAATATTTATTCTATATTTATTATAATTAACAATCTTCTAAATAATCATGTGCTGAAAGAGTAATCAAATGAGGGGCACCTAGGTGGCTTAGTCAGTTGAGCATCCAACTTTGGCTCAGATAATGATCTTATGGCTCATGAGTTTGAACCCTGCGTTGGGTTCTGTGCTGTCGGCACAGACCCTGGATTCTGCTTCAGATTCTGTGTCTCCAGCTCTCTCTGCCCCTCCGCTGCTCACTCTCTCTCTCAAAAATAAATAAACATTAAAAAAATTAAAAAAAGAGAGTAATCAAATGAGAAATAAAAAGTATTTTGAAATGAGTTAATATGAAAGCACAGAATATCATGATTTGCAGATGGCACTAAATGCTCAGGGAAAGATTTGTAGCACTAAATGCTTCTGTTATGAAGTACAGCCATGATATGATGACCTCAGTTTCCACTTTAGGAAACTAGAAAAATAAGAGCAAATAAGAACATGAAGAAAATATAAATACTTATAAATATAAATACTTATATATACTATAAATATATACTTATATATAAATGTCCCTAGTAACTTTGTTTATAATAGCCCCAAACTGTAAACAACTCAGATTTCAAGCAATAGGAAAATGGATAAACAAACTATGATATACCCATACATGGAAGTTTACTCAGCAACAAAATAAACAGAATTATTGATACCCACAAGTGACATTGATAAATATCACAATAATTATACTGGGTGAAAAAAGATACACATATTACATAGTTTCATTTATAAAAATTCTGAAACTTAATCTATAGTTACAGAATGCAGATTGATAGTTATGTGGGGACTAAGATAGATGGTGAGCAAAAAAGGAGAAGGAGAGAGGTATCCTGACTGTGGTCGTGGCTCCATAGTTTTATATATAATATGTACATGAATTTTCAAATTGTACATTTTAAACATAAATGGTTTAAGATTTCTATTATCTCTCAATAAAGCTGTAAAAAATACAATCAAAATAAACTAATATAAAACAAGAAATCATTGAAAGCCTATAGATACCTAGTAAAATTAAGATAATACATGATGCTAATATCCAAGCAAGAATGCAACATTCAGCATTCCATACAATGTACCTCTTTATCCAATTTTTAGCAGAAATATGGAAGTGTTAGGGAAGTTTTTGACAGATGAATTTTCCAAGTTTTTCTAAATAACCAGGCTTAGACAATTATAGCAAAGTTTGTTAGATTAAAATAACAGAGAGGAAAGTGCTGGGAAAGGATGAGACAGTTGCAATCAGCCAAGAAATGATTGGATGTATGAATTGACTCAAATGTAGTATTATGAAAACAAAGAGGCCATGATGAAATA